ACGGATCAAAAGTACTTTAAGCCGATTTCTGTTTGTTGTTGTTTTTATTTGATCGAATTGATTTATAAGAAAAATATAATAAAGTAAAAAAAATGAAGCGCAGGTTTAAAGACAAACATCAGATCTCGCGCCTTCAGTCACATATTTAATATTTTCCCTAATTTATTTATACATTTTAATAAATATTTCCAACCAAACGTAGTTTCTACTTTAAATAATTATTCGATTTTTCAGTTAAATTTGAAAAATAGTTATATTAATTTACTTTCGTTGTTATCGTTTATTTTGTGGAGAAAGACCTTTACACTTTTCCTTATTTTAATTAATTAGTTAATTAAATTAAACAAAAGTGAAATGTCTTCTTATTGGTATATAGACATTAATAAATGCTGATTGTTTGTATAGAAAATTTGAAGTTTGTTGTTTTATATAGAATATTTTTCCTTATTTGATTTACCGTTTTTATGGCCTTAATACATTTCAAATTGAATAGAATTATAATAATTGATGGATATAGCGATACGGCCGTACTGTACGTAACGCAGATGTAATTTAAATTGCAAATATATTAACGTCTTATTTACAATATTTTTGCCGGAAATCTGGCAATTTTTCAAATTTTACCACTTTGCCCGAAGGAAAAACTTTTATTATACTCTTTCGTCACGAATTTTATGAACGAGCGCAATCGAATCTTGAAATTTTGAAAATAATTTAAGATATTGTCTCGTATACAAAGTACGGAATCCGAACAATTTTCGGTATAAGCTATATGCAAAATAAAGAAGTAATTCGAGTAAATTTAGTTGTAGAATATTATAAATCTGCATAAAAAATACATTTTCCGGTAGATAGTCAAAATGGAGTGAATTAGCGTTGAAGAATTTAGACTTTAGAAATGTAAACTAAGAGTAATATCGAAATGTAATATTGTGTGAATCTGTGGTTGGATGCCGATCCTACAAAAAACAAATTTTAATTTAAATTACAAACAGACGAACACTTATTTACAATTTTTTTTTCTTATGGAAATTTGACAATTCTTCAAATTTTACCACGCTTACCCCAATTTCGACTTTTTTGACAGGCGAGAGTAGTAGGATTTTGGAAATTATTATCGGAGAAATAATAAGTCGATATGAAACCCAAAGCAAAATAAAGAAGTAATTTAAGTAAATATAATTCTAGAGCTAACGCCAATCTACATGAAATGTACTGTACAGTACGTCGGGCGTCGGAAAAAGCAAAATCAAGTTACTTAGCGTGAAGAAATTTCCATTAACTGATAGAAAAAGTTCCAAAACTTCTTCGACGACTGTCATTCATCGAAATTAAATTCCGTCTTCGTTTACTTCGATTCTTATTCCAAATCAATTTTTCTTTAAATTCGATTGTTACGTTATTTCCTCTTTTATTCCTTTAAATCCAAATACGCGCGTCCAAGCCTTTTCTGCGCATTATCGACCCACAATCTACTCGATTTTAAAAGGCAATTTCGAAAATTATATTTGACTATTTAGAAATAAGTTAATTTTGGCATTTTGGTTCGCGTTTATGCTTCCTAATTATATTGTAACGTCCCACCGTCTCCGGAGAATTACGCCCGCGTAATGATCTCCACGCGTCACGTGTCCACTTAATAGGATTATCAGTTTTCTCTTGTTACTTTAAAATATCTCAAAATTACGTTTAAATTAACAATTAACTAACTTTATTATCCTTATTTTTATTATAATTCAGTGTTGTTTATTTACACAATAAAATTTCGAGTTCCTTTTCACTTTTCTTTATCAAAGAAGGCGTGAATAAATCTTTTATGTCGTATTCTCTCCAACTAGGCAGTCTGTTGTTTATCCGAGACAATTAAATTTATTTACCGGCATTTTCTGCCGCTTTTTCTTTCTGATAAGCTGCAAATTTTTGGTGTTTTTATTTTGAATATTTTTCCTTTTAAATAAATTTAAAGATTAGGAGCTTAATCGTCGCCTTTCGAAGATATTCCCAAAAGAGAATTCGGAATATCCTATCAACTGAATTAGTTTCTATGGCAACGAAGATTACAGATACCGATATCACTTATGCTTAACACCTGTTTTCTACCGAGAAAAGACAATTTATGAAAACCATTTACTAAAAATTTCTCTCTTTTGATTTATTCTAGTTAACTTACATCCGCCGGTATTACTGGTAATTAAAATAAATTTCTTCTGTTAATTTTAAAACGAAACGTAGTAAAATTTAATATCGTAACTTCTGTATAAACGATTTTGTTTACCAGACCGTTTCCTCAAAAAAAAAATAAATTTGGCAATGACGACAAAAAGTCAAGGTCGCTCCAAATTTCGAGTTATAATACGAATTATTTTGGCCACAAAATTCTTTTATAGACTTATTCGCATTACGTGAATAATTCATCAAAATAAAATTCTATTCTTTCCAATTTCATTTATAAGTCGTATAAAAATAGAAAATAAAAAGTTGAGAAAATTATTCTATAAAAGGATTGAATTTTTGTAGAAGGGAATCGAGGATTTGAGGCTCTCGACGTCTATATATAGCCTACGTACTGTATAGTTGTATGTACAGTACAGTACAGTATTTTAATACACAATTTATATATTAGTGTGCATTGAAACGTGACAGAATATGATGACGTAAGTATAAACAGCGTGTCTTACACAAAAACAAACACACACTGTGTAGGTTTTGTTTGAATCTTATGTAGGTCAGAATAAACTCGTGAATAAAGTAGACTTTTTTTATATTTTTATTGTATTCGATATTAACATTATTACAAAATTTAACTTTTCGATTACATTTTGCAAATTATTTGCTGTCTCTTAAAAGAATTCTCGACTTTATTTGTCATTTATCTTCAGAAGTACACGCTCATCTCCGCTCTTTTTCTGGCTACGCTTTCGAGTGTTAGGTCGAATAATTTTCTATATTCTGTCTAGAACGTGTCAAACTCGGCGAATTCGGGTTTGACAGATATTTTAGCCGAAGATGAAATCCTATATATTAATATGCAAACCGTCAGCTACAATCACATTTGCATAAATGACAATATTCAAATGTCTAATTACGTTATATTAATCTAGCAAAGAAGCGTTTAAATATCTCGAAAGGTTGACGCGAAGCGATCGATAATTAAGATCTTAATTAAATTTAAAATAGAATAAAATACACCCTATCGGAGCTTCTTTTTTTTAAATAGAATATTATTGGAATTTTTTGTTTTAAGCGTTATCATAACAATTTTATTCAGAAGAATAGATGATAATTTATCATTCAGACATAATTAAGCTACAGTTTGTATATTTAAGAATGTTTCCTGGTAGGTATCGGGTTATACCAGAATATATTGATTATCAAAGTGTTTACAGAAGGCAGGAAGCGAACTTACAATCAAGGTTATTCAGTCTACTTCAATTTTTTCCAACTTTTTTTTTTCCTCTGCAACTTCAACTTTCTAATAGTTCTTTGTAATCTAAGTAATGTTTATATTGATGCCTATTGAAGTGTAACGCGATCTTACGCGTAATACAATAAGTCTAACGAGTTTAAAGAACTTAAAACATTTAATAACGATCGAGGCATTTTTAAAGCCGAATTCTTCCTTATAAATCCACGCAATATATATTTTTAAGAAAATTAACTGCGTAAACAGATTTAAATATTAAGTGATTATAAGCTTATTTACTTTAATCTCGAAAACGTCGGCGTAAAGATAAGGAAAATGAAAAAAATTAGTGTAAAATATCGACGGATTATGCTAAAAATGAGTCGAGTCGGCAACAAAACCTTGCAAGTAAAATAAAATTACAGTAATCAATAGCAGTCTCTCGGTATTCATTCCGTGATTAAATCGTTTGGAGAGAGATATAAATCCAATAAAGATAGCCGCTAGGAGTCATCGAGACTCTCCTTAACACGTGTCTTAATAAAAAGACGGAAACATCGATTTTTAATTAATGACTCAACGATGTTTGTGAAACGAAAACTTGGATAAAAAAAACTGTGCAAAACGGCCGCTGACAGAGTATTTCTGCGCTCTTTATTACACGAAATTCGCACCACTTGGAATTAAACACCGTTTTATCTCGAGTGGTTTCTAGTTTGTAAATACAAAAAAAAAGTTATGTTCGGTAATTCCTGCTTTTGGGAACAATAGAAAGGAAAAGAGGAAATTTTGGAGCATTAGGTTAAATTAAGGAAAGAAATTTATTCAATGGATTTTCCTCCTTATTACATAGTAGAACGTGTCGCAAGAATTATATAGGCTACGTAACATTTATTAATTAATTTATTAAAAGACAGGCACTTTTCCATCCTAAATTATAAAAACAAATGTACGAATATTATTTTTAAGAAGTTGCTCGAATGTTAAAAACGCTTCGTCAGAAAATCAAAGAATTTATTGAAACTTTTAATTTAAATACTTTAATTTTGTAAGTGGGATCCGTTATTGCCAGTCGTAGAGAAAGGCGATAAATTTAGTGTTAATTAAAAAAGCAAAAATTATTTTCTCCAGTTGTTATTACTATAAATAGATTTCACAAATGGAGTGGAGAGGGCAAACAACGCTTCCTTTTATAACTCATGACGAAATTTCTAATTGTTTTGGCTACACCGCCTCGTACGACACGTAATATTTCTCCTTTCTGCACGATCGAACAACATGGATTCGGATTCGGAAGGGAGGTAAGAAGACTTTATTCGCATCGACCGTCTCCTCCATTATTTGCCTGCATAAACCCTTATTTCTTTCCCAACCGAAATGGAATCCACGCGGCATTTCGTTTGTAACATTCCGTATTAATTAAACGAAATTTCGGTAGCTTTTTTAAGTGGTAGATCGGGCGGTTCCTACTTAAATTGTAGAAACGGGCGACGGCGGTAAATTCCTTTTATTTTGTACCAGAAGCGCTTATTAGGACAGATCCGCGCGTTCCGTCGGGAATAGAAAAATTGCCGAAATATTATAGAAAAACGGCGGGTAGACCGCTTAATTTTATTTGCTTGGCCGGAAATTCCCATACGTTACGACGGATGAAATGGTAGAGGGCCGATAATTGTTTTTCAAACACGGAGAATTTTGTAGTTGTGACAGCTACAGGTCCATTCGGTCGTCATGGTTACGGTCTGGTAGCGGAGCGATTCCCTTCTGCACGGCACTCAGTACGAACCGAGCCGGTTACACATTTGGTCGTCTCCGCTAAAGGTGGGTTCTTTATTAATATAATTATTTCGTACGTCATTCTCATTACGAATAAATGTGCGTGAATGCCCGAATAAATCCTAGAATTACATTTTTAAAATTATTTAAAAAATATATAATTAATATAAATTTGTATTTTTTTTTTCATTCCGAAAATCGATCTCAGAAAATCGAGTTTGGCCAGGTTGGAATCGATGGTATAATTTTAACTCTTGTTTTATTGGTAGACAAATTGATGGATTTCTTATGGTTTTCCACGCGACTTTCCAATGTTTATACGTTTGTTTTTTCGTTGGATTTACCATTTAAAACGCTTATGATTGCCAGTCGAGAGGCGTCGCTTTCTTCTAAGAAGAGAAAAGAAGTCTCCCGCGTGTCTCAAATGGCAAAAATTCATTCTTTTGTGCGGAGAATTCGATCGAAAGCGGTTTAAAATTAAAGTTAAGTGAATTGGCGGGAGATGCCGTTTCCGCCACGCATTTTTCCATTTCACCCGACACACAAAAGTTCCAATTCTATTTGAAATATTTATTATCTACAACACGATTCTTGTCGGACGGAGACAAAATACAAATTTCCAAAGAATAAAACTATAAAAGTTCAAAAATAGATTTTCCTTTTTAACTTCGGTAAATTATTTTAAAATTTAATCGTTGTCGGGGAAATAATCGTGTAAATAAATTATATGCGCAACATTCTAGAAATATTCGATTATTTTTTATTCCTCGCCGGTTACAAACACCCCGGGGATAACAAATGAAAAAAGTGGAAATATTTTTAATAAAAAATTTAATAATGTAGACTATAGTCATAAATTCAAAAAGAAAGAAAAAAGAGAATAAATTATTGTTTCTCTGATAAAAAAAAAAGTAACTTTAGTCTGTGCAAACGTGATTTATATACGTAAATAGATGTGTAGTCCCGGAGAAAATTCTTGTAATTTTTGCTATTTCATTTAAAAAAGAAGTAACGATTTAGATTCAGTCAGAGAAACCTTTCTAATCATTTACGTAGAAAACGATGTTTGGGAGAGTTCATCTAATTTTACAGATAGATTTTCGTGTAAAAAAAGAAATAATGATAAAGAAAAAAAAAAAAAGAATTCACTTCATTATCTGGAACTCTTTCTCGGAAAAATATTCATTACTCGGTAGTGTCAATTATATTTAATATTAATTGTAACGCCGAAAAATTTACATACGAATAACGCCAGAAGATAATAATAATTTCTCGATTTATTTCTGCCGCCAGATTTTTTTTTCGCTACTATAAATTTAATGAATACTTTTTTTGTTAAAAATAAACGGAATGGCGCGATAGGAATTTCAAAATCTTCCTCAATTGCGGACTAAAATACTATAAAGGTGTAAGTAGTAGCCGATACATCTTCCTTACCGGTTAAGATTAACTTAATTCAGTTACCTTTAAACAAATTATTCTGGTTTAACGGTTCGACTGCCGATGATATTTCACAGTTTTGGACGTAATTAAAGCGGAGGAACGGGATTTACCCGCCAAACACGCGCTGCAAATACATTTTATTTAGGATTTTTCGTCGGAAGCGAGTAAACAACGTTGGCATATGCTCTTTTTCCAATTTTTTTAAGAAGCGGTCGGCTGTATGTTTCTTATTGGAACGGGCCGGAGGGGCGGGTACTCGTCACTCACCCGCGTACTGTATGTTTTCGACACCCTCTCGTGGGCTTCCGGTACACTCGGAGTGATACTACTCTTATCTCCTACAATCCAAACCCATTTAAGGCTAAATCGTAAAGGTTGGCGCTTAATTATGCCTAGACATTGGCTTTACTTATTTGTAATCTACGATATAATTCGCTTAATGGTCCATTACGTACTGTATTTACACATTGAATAATTAAATTTAATTAACACCGAGTTAAATTATCCTACGGGGTTATCGCGGAAATTGGACCCGGTCTTTACTTAAACGTGGCGTAAAGTGGGATAAGTAAAACGGGGATTCCTCCTTTTGCTCGTTTGTCAAACGATTTCGAAACGTATTTCTTCTCATAAAAACGAGGGTGGAGGGTGCAAGAATTTGGAGCCGGGCCATAAAATGCGTTGGGCATTCTCGTCAAGGTCGGTTCAGTTGTAAATTCGGTGCCGACAATACGGTTTACTCCATTCGCTGCCGTTATAACTCGCTATCACGCCAATAATAAATATCGGTACCGGTCGGTATCATCCGTGTCGTCGAAAACATTCAAGAGCTTCTAGAGTGGTGCAAAAAACAGATTTTTATTCTAGAATATTCGTTCTACCGGAATTATTTATTTTTGGACGTCTCCCTTCCGCGTTATTCCGTTCGGTAAAGAGAAGATGTAAATAATTTCGTCATAAATATATTTTATTTGTGTATATTTTGGATTAAATATTTCAAATATTTTCGTCTTTAAATCGTCATCGACATCGACTTCTCGCCGTATTTATTTATTATTTAAGCATTTAACGCGTATGCAATTTTCTTCAGATTTAAAGTAAAAATAATCTTTTCGTCGACAATAATAATAATTATAATGGATGGAAATATTTTTCTAAGATTTAAAAGTGCAGGTGGAGTCGAGTTATTTAAAAAATTTGACATGGCTTTTCCACGTAAATAAAACATCCATCCAAATAAATTTCCACGAATTCTGACATTGTTTTCCTTTTAGGAATTCTCCTTGCGTAAACTCCAGCAGACGACCAATTTTGGTCCAATATCCGATATTTTGTGTTGTTTCCCTTTTTAAATTTTCTACTTTGAAAAACCTTTTCATGTTTATCGATAATTAATAATCGTATTCGCGTAATTGTCACAGAAAAGCCCGTCCAATGTCCAGAAGTCCATTGGACATTGGACAGGCTTTTCTGTCCACCTTTTCCGACCTAAAGTATTGATATATTAAAACGGCATTAGGAATTGTACCGTATTTTTAAAATAAAGGGTTTTTATCTCCTTAATTAATACGCAAGAATGAATTATTTTTAAGGAATGTTTGTGGATCCGTAATGCCAGACCTCAGCTCAATGGCTCTACTGACAGTTTCGTAAAAGGGCCCGGGAAATACCAATCCGTGCAGACTGTGTTTTTACATTTAAAATAAACATTTCTATTAAATCGACACGTCGAATTTTAATTTCGTGCGTTTCAGGGATATTATATACACTCGTATATTTAAATGCCAATAAAATGCAGCTTTTAATGAAATTGCTATTTTTCAATCGATATTCTTCGAAGAATTCTCGACAGTAAAAGTTAAAAATCAATCAAAATTCTGACTTAAAGGTCCAACAGTTAAACGTTTACCTATTTTGTTTCGTTCTTGTAATTGTTAATCGATAAACCCGAACTTAAACTCCGTATTTAAAAAAATAATAATAATTTAATAAATTTTCAATTAAAAATAAGCATTGACAGAGCTTCTATTTCAGTAAAACTTTAATTATTTTACACGTTTTGATTTGGATATAGGCCTATTTATTAAAACAAAGAAAAAAAAAATATATATTAGAATCTTTATTCATAGGAGTCGCGATACATAGACATCAAATCTTGTGGTGAAATGCCCGATTGTCTGGCAAAATCTTTTATTTCATATATTTAGTGCATTTTCCACGTCCATAATCGGCATTTTGAGCCGCGTTGGGCCTCTTGGGTGACGTTGATAGAGCGTTATTCTTTAAAAATAAAAAAAATAAGGGCACCCGCAGGATTTTTGTTTTAGGAGACACGATGTGATTGGCTAAAATTGTCTTCCTTAAATGGACACGTTTCCGCTCGTACTAAACTCATTTGTTCCTGCCGGAAGGCCCACAAGCGCTTATTAAAAACCAGGAAAGCTCCCACTCTCCTAAAATACGCGGGGCCTTTCAAATTTTACGGCTCTCTCTTAAGGCCTAAAGAAGAACTACGGGACCATCTCGTCGTCCAGTGTTGCGCAGTTCGATATAACCACGATTAAAATAAATTTACTCTTTTAGAATTTCCCGCTATCCGAAATCGTTATTGGAGGGGGAAAAAGAGTAAAGCGAATATCCGGAGGAACTCCCGACGATTGGGAACGAAGTTACGCATTAATCGTAACAAAAAATTCGTTTGGAATGGTAAATGGATGTTAGGATAAGTGTAATCGATAATATAGATAAGTTGTTACCTTGGAAACGATATCGGCGTAACCGGTATAGCGGACCGAATCTATTGTTACCAAAAATCTCTATAGCAACTGTTTATGGTAAACAGAGATGGGGATACGACGTCATTCGCGCGGAAAGAAATTCACTGGTACGAGATTTTCCCATTTCTTTGATACAAATCGAAACTTTCTAACAGGAACTGTGGGAAAAATGGGGGGGTTTAATAGCTGATAATTGAGAAAAGGTTCGATTCCCCCCCCCGCAAAATGTTTATAAATACGTAAGACCGGGCAAAGGGCGTTACTTAACTAAGATGATCGGGCTTTAAATGGCCGGACGAAGGCAATTTAAATACACTTCGAGCGCCGGCGTTAAAGCGTACTTTTATAATCTCTACATAACGTAATTTTCCATTATGTTAAACGACTGCATCCGCTAAATGGCGTGAGGTTATCGAAAGTAGCCGGTCTTTTATCCCAAATCTCTCGATATTCACGTGCCGATGGAAATAAATGAAATGTTTATCCTAAATGCCTGGACGCAATCAGATTAAGAGAGAAATGCCAACGCTCCAAAGTAGATTATCCACGGGATATTTACTCTCTTTCCATTATTTTAATCGGTTTTAGCCTTATTCCTTTCGTAACCAAACGCGTTACGTCAACGTTACGCCAGAACTTCCTTATAATTACACCGAACGCTTAGTTAATTCACGAAAATATCCTTTGAGATTCTTCTTTTTCTTTTATAGAGTTTCCGTCCACGAAACTTGCTTTTGTTTTCTTTCGCCCGAAAACATTTTCCGGTTAATTTTGCTTATCGAAAAACGAAACAATTCTACGTTAATAAAAACGAAAGAGAAAAAC